ACAAGTGATCAAGGAGTTTTTTACCCCGACATATGGGTGGCGACCTAGTCTTCGGGTTGTAGGGCCTTGATCTTGCACGCTGTTTTTTTCTCTTATTTTGTTTGTGTTGGAGTTTGCTGGCTGTGTGCACTGTCATGGTGCAAAGGCCAGAAGTATCCTCAGAATGACCGAGATCAATAAAGCTTGTATTATATAAAAATTAGACCAGAAAAAGAAATTTTGTTAAATCCGTAGGCTCTTGAAACATGTAAAAATAGCCACGTTCTATAAAATAATGTGTTTTACTTTGAGGGTCTGCCGCTCACACAAAGGGCGCGAGTGTGCCATTAGAAAAGCTGGCGCACACGTGCGGCCTGCGGGTCTCACGTGATTTCTTTAGTGAACATGATTTTATTTTCATGATTTTTTTATTTTTTTTCACATGATTTTTTTTCGTGAATTTTTTTAATCACATGCAAATGTTGAGTAAAAAAGTTTTTAAAATTTTAGCTCAAAGTTTAAATTTTGAGTTTGAATGTTTTTAAAATTTAAGTTGAATGTTTTAAACTTTAAGATGAAAGTTTTCAAATTTGAATTGAAAGTTTCAAATATTTAGTTGAAAGTTTTCGAATCCGAGTTGAAAGTTTCAAATCTTGATTTGAAAATTTTCAAATCTGGGCTGAAAGTTTTCAAATTAAGTTTAAAAGTTTCAAATCTGGACTTGAAAGTTTTCAAATATGAGTTAAAAAGTTTTTAAATCTGAGTTAAAAGTTTTGAAATCTTGACCTGAAAATTTTCAAAATCTACGTTAAAAGTTTTCAAATCTAAGTATAAACTCTCAGATATGAATTTGAAAGTTTTCGAATGTAAGTTGAAAAATTTCAAATTTTGATTTCAAAATTTTTAAATCTGAGTTAAAAGTTTGTTCAGTTAAAAAAAAGAAAAAACATGCGCGGGAAAAAAATTTTCCGCGGAAAAAACAAGAAACATGCGGGGAAGGTTTTCTTTTCGTGTTGTGGAAGGAGAAATGGAGAGAGGATCCTCTGACTTACTTCCGTCTGACTTTGAGTCACTGACACCCACACGTCAATGACATAAGTTAGAGGGAAATATGTTAGAGCCTTAGGCTGCATTCGTTACCTCTCGTTCCCAACTTCCCTCACTCGTTTTCTGCGCGTACGTTTTTCAAACTGCTAAATGATGTGTTTTTTTAAAAAATTTCTACACGAAAGTTGCTTAAAAAATTATATTAATCCATTTCTTTAAAAAATATCAAATACTTAATTAATCATCTGCTAATCGCTGCTCCGTTTTCCGTGGCAGGGTGAGAGGTTCCAGTCAGGAGAAACGCGTCGACTGGCGATGGCGAGCGAAGGAAGCAGCGATGTGAAGTTATTGCAGATTGCCCCATAACCTTTTGAACTAATCACAAGCTCACCCCTCTCGCTTCGCCTCCAAAGCCCCTACCCGCCGCCGCCGCCGCCGCCGCCGTCGCCCGTCGGCCGCGAGCCGCTGATTCCGGGTCGTCTCCGGCGGGAGGATATGCTCCGGCGTCGTCTCGTGATGCGCCAGGTGATCTCTAGCTCTCCTCCCGCAAACACTCAGCCGGACGCAATGCAGGTCGCTGATCTCCTTAATTATCTTGCCCCCCCGCCTCATGCGGCCGCGTGATTAATTTCTTACTCGTAGACGAGATCGATGGTTCTTGTTCCTGCCAAAAGGGGTGGAATCTAATCCGTGTCGCTGATGGATCGTTGAGGTGATAAGAGATCGGAGATTTTGTTCTGGGATTTGTGGTTTCCCTTTCCGAGGGAGAGGTTAGGGTTTGGTTAATTCTGCCGCGAAGATTAGAATGTGTTAATCCGGTCCGAGTGAGAAAACAAAATCGATTGGTGGGTTATGGGCTTTTGATTGATTTGAGCCCTGCGTGCTTGTGCATGACATTTGGCCCAATATTTCTTCGTGTCAAATGTTAGGAGTCGCATTGTCCCAAATAAATGCCTGTGAAATTAGTTTATTAATTAATTTCTATAAGGTTGTCTCAACTCTTGTCATGATTTGGCAGTAGTTTTTTATGCTTGTTTTCAAGCTTAAAGAGTTGAATACTGAAGAGTATAATGTCTGTCGATATAGTATAGATAGGAAAGAGGGTTCGATGAAATGGACCCGATTTAACTCTGCTTTGGACACTGTTTTGCGGTTCATCATACTTGAATACTTAATTGATGTGTTATACATACAATTAATTTGTACACTCTCGGTCTCTCCATGTTATTCTCACACATAGAACCAGTTCATTTGTTGCCTGCTATGGAGCACGTAATGCTATCCCATAACACATCATTTGTTGTATAGTCATAAGTATTTCTGTTTGTCTCTGCTCAGACACTCTGCAGAATATTGTGACATTTGTGAATTGCGTGTCAACTTCCAAGTTCTTTGATTCACAGTTTCACACCATGCGAAACAGATAACCTTGCATGGGTTAGTTTTGAATTTTACAGTTAACTATCATCCGGGAATTTACATGCTTTATTTGACTAGTCAGATGCAAATTAAAGAATCACAATTTCCTTCTACATATTTCACAACAATCATTGGTGTGAGGTCAACATCAAATGATCATATTTTGTGCTGTGGACCCTCTTTTCTGAGACTCCGTCATACAATCAGATTTTCATTTTTTTTTCTAGAATCTAGATTGCATTGCTTAGCTGCTATTCTAAACAATTGAAAAAACATGGATATGAAGATGGTTTTTTTGTGCAATTTGTGTTGATCTACATGGAATGAATGCTCCCAAGATATTAAGAAGAATTTTCTGTTTCAGTCCTACGTTGATGTGTTGAAGTGAACTAGTTGGCCATGATGTGCATATCACTAACATAATGAATGCCTAGGAAAAAAGGTACTAAATGCATGAATGTGGCCCCGTCGGCAAATGCACTTACGCATGGATAGATAATGTTGTGTCACAATCTTAGGCATACATCTGTACTTGTTGAAAACTACATGGATCTAACCCATTTCAAAAGTCCCCAAGCGTGTCTTTCTAATGCATGTGAAGCAACTAGCCAGATGGCTTTCAAAACATCATGGAGAACTGAAGTACAAGTTTGGCCAAAAAAAAAAATTTGTGCATCCATTTCAGTTGGCTTTGTAAACTTATTAGGGAGTGACTTCAGTAAAGTATATACACTGAGGTGAGTTTACTCTAGTATGTCATAAATATTGTTTGGGTGTTGTACTTACTGTGGAGTTCTTTACATAGGCTGGTACAAAGAGAATGTTAATGTAAACATTAGTGAGCACACTAGCAAAGTTAGCATGCATGCAACCTTAATGTAGGATTCAAAGGGTTGTTAGCTTTTGAAGTGTCATGAGTATCCCAATTGGGGAGTTAGGTATGTATCCTCTTAGAAGAAGTAAATGATGTTAGTAGTATAGACGATGTGCTTATTGGCATTCGGCTTTCTAGCATCATTAGAAGCACTTAGGAGGTAAATTTGTATCTGCTAGTAGATGGAAACAACCAGGGGTAATCCATCAGGCTGTGTCAGCTATTTCATTAAACTCAATTTGGGTTTGCAGGTTCAATAATTTGGAAGAAAAAGTGAGCAAGGCAATACTTCCAAGTTTGGCATGGACTTTATTTATTACCATGTTCACTGCCTTGCATTAGTAGTTCAAAATTCCCTTTGATGGTAAGGATGTAAAATTGTGTTTGCTGGGCTTACAGACTTTAAATATGTAGTTCAGGAACCATGCTACTGATTCAACATGATAGCAATCTCCTCTTTTCTTTTTCCATAAAGAAAGAATGTCATTTACATATTGCTGCTCTCATTTCAGGATTATTGGAGCACTATGGATAGCTGTATGATTTTGTTTCTTTTCCCTAGGTCAAGCACAATGAATCATATTAATTCACAAAATGCTTGATCTCATTGTAATTCAGGTATATGCCTTTGGCAATTATTCTTATATATGGTCAGTTAAAACTACTTAATCACTACTGGTGCTTCTATGCTTGCTTATTTCATATGTTGTTATTTCTTTTCCTAACCACACTTAAGCATGTAGGAACAATAACAAGTTAGCTTATCTTGTTTCTGCAAATGCTAATACTTTAGTTCACCATATTTGGCACTATCAAAGTGGCAGCAGTGTTCGGCGATGAGATATTTTGTGTATGTATACAACAGTAGGGGATATAGTAAATATGTTATCTGGCTGGCAATTGCCAAAGTTTGAACTTTGAACTCTCTATTCAGCTCCTTTTGTTTTTTTAACAATTACTACCTCCGTTTCAGGTTATAAGACTTTCTAGCATTGCCCACATTCATATAGATATTAATGAATCTAGGCGCACATATATGTCTAGATTCATTAACATCTATATGAATGTGGGCAATGCTAGAAAGTCTTATAATCTGAAACGGAGGAAGTAATTAAGATGAGTAACATATATAGACCACTAACATAACTTTAATTGAACTTTTTTTGTCAAGTGTCCCCATTCACTTACATATATATTAAACTTCATCATGACTGTTTAGTTATTTTAAAAAGTAATAACATGCATCTGAAGTGATGAGTGGGCAAATTAACAACTCCCCCTCGTACATGCATTAGTCATATATCATAGCATTTCCAAGAGTAAACTTCTCAATTTGTCAAAAACTTTTCAGTATAAAGTTACTCAATAGGCACTGTCCCACTATTAATGTCCTAAAGCCGTCCATTAGGCAATAGATCAATCAGGGTTGAAAACTCTAGCAGGGTCCACCTACATGATAACCGGGGCTGGCAAGTTTGATGAGTTCATCTGAGCGCGATTTCCACACAAGCATGCATGATTTCCATTGACAGCATAGATGGCCATATGATCGCGTAAGCTCCACCCACCTTCCTTTTTTCTTTGTGGTGATAGAACACAATGTCCATACAGATGCGAAGATAGTTTGATGTAGCAAGCAACTACACAAGCTTATAAATAGTTATATTTCTAGATTTGTATATACCACAAGCTGCATGAAGTGCATGCTTTGATTATATTAAAATTTTGAATGCTTCATGAGCCAAAGTAGACCACCATATGCGAGAAACGAGAAAAAAAAACTCATCTTTTTAGAAGCGACTTGTGCTTCACACATATGCCACAGTTGTCTGACACAAGCCCAACATACTCGTTGGGGGATAACTAATTACATGGTAATTATCTAGGATGGACTGGATTGGGTTCAATGCCTCCCAGACCATTTAATTATTCATAATGCAACAGATTATGTATAGATATCATCAACATAACCCGGCCATAGCTAATCAAATGGTTTGATAGGCATAGGACCTACTGTCAGCTCTAACGAGTACTGACTTAGCTAGGTTCTATATTTCTATTTATTCGGCAAACTTACTTCATCGTAGTCATCTAGTGACAAAAACACCTCATCTAAGCATGAAAGCTCGGTGCCCTCACCGTGGAAGCTCACTTGTGAACCGCAGCTCGATTCGAACACTCGGCACAGCACCCAGTTGTTGGACTCCTGTAATGATCATGCATAAATTTTAGTATTTTGTGCTCCAGTTACTCCTTATACGCAATTTACTGAACTGTTGACTGCTGATCGAGCAGCAAGATAGAGAGGATATGCATCACTTACCATGCTTGAGTGGCCTCTCTTCCTATGAGACCTCCTGTTAGAGCTCGAGCTAGTCAAGTTGCTGCTACCGCCAGCGACGCAATCCCCGTCTAGCAGATGGTACTCATGCATGATCCAGTTGGTTCTGATGCCTTCAGAGGGCTCTCCAATGGAGAATAGCAGCGTTTTCTTCAAGCCAACATTGCGGCCGCCGCTTCTTACTGTTTCATCAACTCCAATGGGGCTCCAGTGCCCATTGGATGAGGTCCTACTTTGTGTTAGATGGCAGAAGAAGTACCACTGGTTCCCAGCTTGCAGTGCTTTGCCTTAAAATTGCAATTTCTATCAGCACTCAGCATGACTTGTAAGAGAACAAATTAGTGAAATCATATTGATCAATGCAGTTGCAGACTTACCATTCAGCTCCCATGGATTGTACCGATGCGGAAGCAGCGTCGGGATGATGTCAGGGTGGCATGGGAGGAGGGAGACCTTGCGACGGAGGAAATGGACGACGAGCTCTTCATCCGAGGGGAAGAAGTGGAAACCTGGAGGTAAGTTTGTAGCTCCTCCCATGCTACAACTACAAGTGCAACTTACAAACTGCAGTCAAATGCAACTTGGCTGGGATATTGATGAATTTGAAATGGGAAGCTTGCTGATCTTGGTGAGCGAGTGCTACTTATAGGGAGCATATGTGTGTGATTGTGTGAAAGAGTGAGATGTAGAGAGAGAGAGAGAGAGAGAGAGAGAGAGAGAGAGACGTGCAAGTCAAGGAGTGCTGAGTGCTGATCCGTAGGAGGATGGCAGCCAAGCGAGGGCGACATTTTGCGATGCTTATATTCTATATATTTCTCTTTTCTTCTTTGGAGGGAAATAATGATACTATGAGGAGACATTTGTTGGATCATGGATTCATGATGCACTGCTATGTACCCGTTGGCTGCAGTAGTGTGCAGAGATATATATTAGTTTTTCAGAGGGGGGCAGAAATAATAATTGAATCATTCCATAGTACATGCATGATAAAAGTGTTCATCCAGCAGCCTGTGATATAATTGATGGCCTTAAGGATTGTTGGCTTATATTAGATCTCAGCTGGTAGGTATCAGTACTTTTTTGTTGATTAGTCATTACCTCATTGAATTGGATTTTCTATCAGCAATTTCTTTAAGCCTGTATTAATTACTTACTGTATAGATTATTATATCAAGTGTTTGAAGTTTTATCAAGTGATAAGGTTTTCACATGAGCTGATTACTACATTGTGACAGGCACTCCTTAATGTACATTCCCCAAAACCTCAGAACAAGGTAATGTGACAGGCAACATCTCTAGTGCAGTATTTCTTTTCATGATCATTGCGTATACTATTTGTTTCCCCCCTGACCATTGCATTCTTGCTCATGTCATGCAGGCGTCACCCTTCTCAAGCCATATGCACCTTGACCACAGCCAGCCATTATATACACGAGTGCCAGCAAGCAAGTTGCACATTTTTTCTGGACCTGTGTGGCAAAAGTACAAGGGCATCACTTGAAGAAGAAGCAACCCAGATGTTGTCCTCCTGTTGTATACATTGCTGCGTCAGAGGGGTACACTAATCATTCCAAATTATTCATGAATCAACTGGGGAAAATTCTTATCTGCCTTGGCAGGCACAATAATTATCAGGAGAGGATCACCTCACCTGAGAGTGATTAACTAGAAAAATGCCCAGTTGGTGAAAGGACTCCATGCCATCAAGTTGCATCGATCTCAAGTGGTAAGAGTATAAGACCCCCCCCCCCCCCCTCCATCTTTCTTGGTAGAAAGTTTAACAATCTCATGATGACCACTTGTGAAGAGATCCATCAAAGGAAACTGTGGTTCGATTCAATCCCGATTGGTTTCAGATGCAAGAAGATGCTTATCTCGATAAGATTAACCAAAATGAGATCATGATGGCCGAATCTTCCAGGAACTCTCACACAACTCCTCTGTGCTGCTCCCAGGAAAAGATCATGGTGGCCTCATCATTCCAATGGTGCGGAGGCAGCCCCCCCTCGCTGTCGCTCGCACGGTTTCTCTTGAGCCTCTATCTTTCTAGCTCTTGGATCTCTTTAGTTTTTTTTTGGCTTTGGCTTTATCTTTTGGGATCATATGCATGCTGTGCTTCTTTGTGGCAGGGCATGTCCGCCACTGGAAGCCGGTGCTCTGCTGCTGCTGCTGCCGGGGGGAATCAATGGAACGCCATTGCCGTTGCCAGCACACGTGAGGCAAAACCTAACATCTCCTGAGTCCTGAGGGGGGTGGTGGGCCCCACCTGTCATGCAGAGCGTGGGTGACCCGGCCCCACCACAGCACCTGGTGCTGGTGGTGATGACGTCGTGCTGATGCAGTTCGGTCGAGGCGCGCACATTGGCCGATGCTGTGGGGGAGGAGAATGATGGAGATCCTCATTCTTGTTGGCACATGCTCAGGTGCGCATGCAGGCGTAGTGTACTGCCTGCGGTTGGTTGTGGCATGTATCATTTGATCATCCCAACTCTCTAGCCTTGTAGCCTCGAGGTGATGTTCTTGACTTCAAAAACCCAACCCAACCTCGTTCTGCTGATTAGTTTCGCAGATGTGAACATGATGACGATGATCTATTGATCTAGTGTGTGTTAAAGTAACATTTGGTTGGTGTTTTGCAGGACGCAGTAGTTCTTCTGTCTGAATGAGCAAGATTGCACTGCACTGTTCATTGGTCAATATCAGATTTGCAATTACCATCAGATTGATCAAGTGGGAGTAAAAAGGTGGCTGGCACACCTTGGATGCTTACTGCTGGTGGTGAAGGATGAGAAAGAGGAGGGCATACGAGGCCACATTCTGCCAATGGCACCTGAGCTATGCAAAATATGCCGCTCGTGGGCAATGTGAGGCACACATTTTGCATCCCGCATTCCTGCCTCATCGGATAGGGCGGAACGGAAGGGATAGAAATGGTTGGATGGATGGATAATACCTTGTGGCAGTCAGTGTTGCTGCTGCAGCAGCAGCAGCCTTCCTCCACTTCCACCACCGGCGCCACAAGAAAAGACGACGACGACCGACGCCGACGCCGACGCGTGCGGCACCAGCCGACGATCGACGAGGTGATACCGAGCTTGGTGCGGTGGTGATGGCGAATTGGGTGGAGAACGAACGAACGAACGGGAGAGACCCAACCACGAGGATAGTAACTACTACTACTGTCTTTCACCTGTTGCCTTGCAGGGTAAAAAAGGGGCTCTTCATCCGTTGGCTAGTTTCTCCAGCTACTGCGTGTCTACATCACCAGTGACGCATGCCAATGCAGTGCACTCCAGTAGTCTCCTACGCTGCTCTTGTGCAAACTTATTTGCTGCTGCTACGACGGACCACATCGGTTTGCAGATTTCCTTGAATTGAAGTACTCGACTAGCGCATCCATCATCTCGACGTTGTGGCGAATCGAATGAATGGAGTTAGCTCCTCTTCAACTATTGCTTTAGCCGGTTGCTGTGTTCTTGTTTTTCTTGTCTCTTGCGTGCATCGGTGCATGGTGTTCTTGCATCATCAGATCATCTCCATAGTGTTTGCTATGCTAGCTTGTTCCGGCTGCTTCAAATGGTTCCAATACTCCAATCCACTGGCCTCACCACCACCCAATGGTAAAGCTGCTCTGCCCACTCGCTGAGTTTTCTTTTTTTTTTAACCATTTTGCAACGCACGCGCAAAATGTACCAAGCACATTATTGTTATCTGCTCAAATGGACCATCCTCATACGGCGCTTGACATTCAGCACTCTCAGGCACATTATTGTTCCATCAGATTTTCCTTTTGTCGCCTTCTTCAAATGCCTTGTGAAGCTGTGATGGACGAAGTAAAGTAGAACGAGTACTCCAAAATTCTTTTGCAAATCCTCCTAATAAAAAAGGCATTAAATGTAACATGGGCGTAATCTTCCCAAGTTGCATGCCATTGATAGACTGAACTAGACATATATATATATGCCTTCATGCTTGTCAATTGCCAATTGACGACAACATATTCTTCAACTCCGATCTGAATCATCCACTGCAAAATTCAGTCAAACTTCGCACACAAAAATTATATTATATATGTACTCTGAACGTTCAATAACAAAGACTACAAATTACAAAGAGTGGAAAGCTGAAGACTTCTATCCTACCACCTTCCCAAATCCAAATATACGATCATCGTGGCAAAGATTGGAAATCAACACCTCTATTGCAGAGGGGGGAAAATGAGTAAATGACTCAGTAGTTGATTCTTCAAACTCACAAATTGAGCTGGATCAGGCAATTGTAAAGCTCTGCCGAGGCAATGGCCCAAAGTTCTGGACTCTGAATTTGTCCTGTCAGTTGTCATCTTCAAGTGAAAAATTGATCCTTCAGGATGCCAAGTTCCAAACGAATCAAAATCGTACGAGTTTATTTGTGATTGCAATCTCAAAGAAACACAATAACCACATTTTGGACTCTGACGCTCCTTTGCAGCATCCTTGAAACACACCACCAATCTGCCATACCAAGGATGCTGAAGGCAAATCAGTGGGCTTCATCCCTCATGCCTGAGACCAATGGCCTTGTTCTTGCAATGCTAAAGCAATTGTTTCATTCCAGAGGATGTATCTTTCAGCACAAAACAAAATTGCCATGCTTGTCCTCAACATTACCCCGAGCACGTGATGAAAAAGCTTGTCCAGCATCTCATATATTTCATTTGCGTCACAGTGAGATGTGTTAGCAGCGACAAACAAGTGTTTTTCTCTCTGCACCTCTATCCAACTATAAGCTCCTCAACATTACCCCCTATAATGAACATGTGATGAAAAAGCTTGTCCAGCATCTCATATATTTCATTCGCCTCATGGTGAGATGTGTCATCGGCGACGAACATGTGTTTTGCTCTCTGCACCTCTATCCAACTATAAGCTTGGTCCTTCCTCAATCCTTTCCCCTTCATGAGAGCCCTGACCTGGCGGGCATCGTCCCACTGTCCTGCTGCTGAGTATATGTTTGACAACATGACATACCGACCACTGTTCTCAGGCTCCAACTGGAACAGGGCCTCGGCAACTTCTTCCGCGATCTCAATATTGCCATGAACATGACATGCACCAAGGAGGGCCCCCCATGACCCAGTTGTACCCAGACCGATCTTGGAGGACAAGCCTTTGATGAACTCACTTGCTTCTTCCAGCTGGCGATTCCGACCAAGAGCATCAATGAAAGCGGCGTAGTGTTCAGCTCTTGGTTCAACACCATGGTCCTGCATTGATTCAAGAATCCGGCGGCCATCAGAGACTAGACCAGCATGGCTGCAAGCTGTGAGGACAGCGAGAAAAGTGACATAGGTTGGTTGTACTTCATCTTTAAGCATCCTCTCAAACACTGCAAGTGACTGCTTTCCCTGGCCATTGTGCGAGAACCCTGTCACCATGGAGTTCCAAGAGATGATGTCCCTCTCAAGCATCCTGTCAAACACCGCCATGGCCGCTACCATGTCGCCACACTTGGAATACATGTCAATAAGGGCATTGTGGATGAAAACGTTGAAAGGGTCTGAACCGATGCTCCTGCGCAAGATGAAGCCATGCACTTCCTTCCCTCGGGCGACAAGACCAACCTTGGCGCACGCACCCAGACATGACACGAGGGCAAAGGGGGTTGGCACTACCCCCTCACCTGTCATCCTTTCAAAAAGCTCGAGAGCGATCTCCTCCTCCCCATTCTGCTCATGCCCAGAGATGAGTGCTGTCCATGCTATGGCGTCCTGCGCTGGCATCATGTCGAATACTTGCACAGCATCGTCAAGCATGCTTGCCCGGCAATACCCTGCAATCATCGATGTCCAAGAAACCGAGTCACGGATGGTCATCTGGTCGAATACCCCCCGTGCATCCTCCACCCTCCCGGCCTTGCTGTAGGCGTCCACCATTGCGTTGGCCATGATGACAGTCACCTCCATACCCGACACCACCACCGCGCCATGCAACTCGCGGAGGTGCCTCGCATCCCGGAGCCCCGCGCACGCGCTCGCGGCGCTGACCACCGTGAACCGGTCGATGGCCACCTGCTGCTGCCCCAGGCCCCTGTCCCTGGCCAGCTGGGCGAACACGCGGAGCGCCTCAGACTCGCGGCCGTGACGCGCGAGCGACGAGATGACGGTGTTGTAGGAGACGACGTTGCGGGAGGCGGGCGGCATTCCGTCGAGCAGGCGGAGGGCGTCGGGGAGGGTGCCGCGGCCCCGGGCCAGCGCCGCCAGAAGGGAGTTGTACGAGTGCGCGTTCTTGTGCGGGAGGTCGTCGAAGGCGGCGAGCGATGCCGCCGGGGTGGGGAGCAGCGCGTAGAGCGCGACGAGGCGGTTGGAGAGGAGGGTGTGGTGGGTGAGCGCCGTCTTGACGAGGAGCGCGTGCACCGCCGCGCCGAGGCGGCGCACGTCCCCCGCGGAGATCGCGCGCTCCAGCAGGGCCAGCACCGCCTCTACTGTGACGGCGGAGGCGGCGGCGGCGCTGGCCGGAGCAGCCGCCGCCGCCGCCGGCCATGGCGGAGTGAGAAGGCGGCGCATGCGCTTGCAACGAGCAGCCGCGACGACCCAGAAAAGAGCTAAAGCCCACCACTGTGCCGTTGTCCGTGGGCCTCGAGCTGTGGGCTCTGGGCCGTGGGCCGTCAAAGCAATCGAAGAGTTTATATTTTGTGGGCCAAGTAAAGCCGTCTCGTCTTGCTGTTCTAGAAGATTTCTCTTCGCGTCGCCGGCGCTGACACCGCCGCCGCCACCGCCATCTCCGGCGAAAACCCTACCTGCACCCGTCCAGCGAGCGCCAGGAGGTAGGCTCTAGCCGGGCGGAGGATGGTGTTCGGGCAGGTGGTGATCGGGCCGCCGGGCTCCGGCAAGACGACCTACTGCAACGGGATGTCCCAGTTCCTCTCCCTCGTCGGCAGGTGAGTAGCTCGTGCTTCTGCTGCTCCAACCCTCGCAAGCTACTCCCTTCGTGCTCGCGGTTCCGGTGCTAGGTGTTTGTTTGTTTGTTTGTTCCAAATTTCTGGTCGGCCTTGCGTTCTGTTGGTTGCAGAAGCGTATTGCTTACCTCCTGGGCATGGACTCGCTATGCAGTTCGGGTAGGAATTTGTGGAAAGCAAGAACTAGGTCGCTTGATTCAGATAGTAGGTAGATTTCGAATTGAGTATGCCGGCTTTATGCCGATAGAGAGAGAAGGTTGGGAGAGTGAGGGGAGATGGGCAATTTTCTCCCATGGAGGCAGGGAGCTTGCTCATGGAAGGTTTCCCCAACTTGCAAATTTGCAATTATGCTAAATGTTTTGACTTATGTGCTTCACTGTTGCGTTGCAGGAAAGTTGCGGTTATCAATCTCGATCCTGCGAATGATGTGTTGCCGTATCCTCTGCACTTTGAGCTCTGAAATGCTCCATTTGCCATATTATCTTGTTTCACTTGTTGGATTGTTGTTCTGCAGTTAAACCTGAAATGTATCCTTGACAGCGGTGATTAAGATATGAATGCGCCATAAACATTGAGGACCTCATAAAACTGAGTGATGTCATGTCTGAGCATTCGCTTGGTCCAAATGGAGGTTTGGCCCAGAGCCCCAGACTTCAGGAATCAAACCTGTTATTTCTTTTGTATGTTCGCTTATGGTATGCTGTTGAAATTTGTGTCAGGCCTTGTGTATTGCATGGATTACTTGGAGAAGAATATCGACTGGCTTGAGGAAAAGTTGAAACCTCTTATTGAAGGTCGGTATAGGCTGGCTTTCTTTATTAAAACCATATCCATGAGCTGCAGCCTGGAAGATCTATAAAATGGAGATCTTCTATAGAAGTCATGATCTCATCGATATTGTTCGCACAGCTGATAAAAAAATTGTTGTTATGGTGCATTCAGAGAAAAATGTAATATTTGGTCAATTTCAATTATTTCCTTTTCAAAATGGTTTACTCACAACTGTTTGTTTGGTCTGAAGTCTTAACTTTTTGCAGTTCTAGAAAAGTAGGACCCAATTAAAGTTATAGATTTTGAACAATTAGAGCTCCTGGGTTCCATTATTCTGAGGATTGTGTTTCAGTTTGTTCACAAGTACACCTTTTGTTTGTTGAGCTAGTTCTGAAAGATCATAGTAGGGGTTACTAAAATACCTATACAGATACTGCTTTATTGTCATGATTTCCTATGTGATTTGCTCAATGGTGGTGATGATTTCTGCAGATCACTATCTGTTATTTGATTTCCCGGGTCAAGTGGAACTTTTCTTTCTACACTCAAATGCGAGGAGTATTATTTACAAACTTATCAAAAAGCTAAACTTGCGGGTACAACTGTGTTAAATCCTATCCAGAGTTCATTGATTATGTAATGAATTGCGTTGCCCACAATATTTCTTGGTATTCTACAGCTGACTGCCGTGCACCTTATTGATGCTCATTTGTGCTGTGATCCTGGGAAGTATGTGAGTGCATTGCTTCTTTCACTGTCAACAATGCTACACATGGAGCTGCCACACATCAATGTTTTGTCAAAGATTGACCTCATTGAGAACTATGGAAACTTAGGTACTGCTTTACCTGCAGCAGAATTTAGTTGATTATTACATGTTTCTATTTACTCATCTTTTTTGTTGGCAGCATTCAACCTCAACTTCTACACTGATGTCGAGGATCTGTCTTATTTGCAACGCCATCTAGATCAAGATCCTCGTTCTGCCAAGTACAGGTAAAACATAAAAATCCAAGCAGCAAATACATAACTTTACTGCCTCAAAAAGTCATGCATATGCAGTCCAGCATACTTGCATAGTTACATTGCACTTATTGAAACCTTGTTACTTGATCAAATTAGATGTAATTAAGCAGGCATTTCCAGTTCTCTTGGGAATATTGTGAAATGTGTGTGCAGTAGCAGTACCCTTTTGTCCATTTCTTTGTTTATTGAGAAACCAAAGGTTGCAACTAATATATTTGTGCAAAAAATCCGATGCTCAACCTGTTTAAGATTAAGAATATGTACTTGGGTAAAGTTGAAAAACCAAACACAGGAGTTGTGAATGCATCTATTGTTTTTGCTTCTTGGGGATTGATAGACGATCATCCTAAATCAATGTCTGTTAACATAGCAGTGTGACCTGTTATGAAGTGAGATGCAGTAACCCTGGGAATCATTTAATTATTCAAATCAAAATCTCTGATAATGTTGCTCTTATGCTTGGATTTCACCTTTGTAATTATTTTTATTGCTTGGGTTATTTATAATATTTTTGTTCCATCTGCTTAAGGAAACTTACTAAGGAGCTGTGCGATGTGATTGACGATTTTGGCTTGGTCAATTTTACAACTTTGGACATCCAGGTACTTACTTGAAAGATTCAGTTATTTCAATTAAGATCCCTGTGAACTTGGTCTTACAAGTTGTTTTTGCCTCTAGGACAAGGAAAGCGTCGGCAATCTTGTGAAATTGATTGACAAAAGCAATGGCTATATATTTTCATCTATAGACAGCAGTGTCGTTGAGTTCAGTAAAATTGCAGCAGCGCCACTTGACTGGGATTACTACAGATATCCTTTACTGTCTCTTCTAGCACCTAGCTTATTCAAACAAATATCTTTACTCTCATACCTTAAGTTATTTTCAGTGTTCTAGAAGCACTCTATTCAAATCACCCCTCTGGCACGTACAGGCATAAATTATTACAATATGGAACAACACTAGAATGGAACAGCACTAGACCACCTTACATAGCAAATTTATGGCTGTGCAACTTGCCAATTTTCACATGGAGCCTGTAGTATTTGTGGCAATGTTGGTATTCCAGACTGGTATTTGGATTTACTAGTGCTTACCCTTGAAGGCAATTCGCATGCCTGCTGTATGATCCTTGGATGCTGCTTTACTGTTTTTTTTTTCTTTCTCTTGTCCATGAAATACATCACTATTATAGCCCCCTTGCACCTTTCCACATTTCCTTTTGTTCCTTGACATGTGACTACAACAGCAGAGGTGCAGGAGAAGTACATGAAAGACGACGAATTCGTGCAGAAGACAAGCAAGACGCGATGAAACTGAATTTGTTTGTAATGCTTGACATGTGACCTTGCTATGCTTGAATGAGAGCTCCATTTGCCCCCATGCCGCTCAGGTAGGGATGTAACATGTTGTGACATGCAAACTGGAACTGAGAAATGTACTCTCTCCATTTTAAAATGTTTGACACCATTGACTTTTTAGCACATGTTTGACCGTTCGTCTTATTCAAAAAATTTTGTGAAATATGTAAAACTATATGTGTACACAAAAGTATATTTAACAATGAATCAAATGATATGAAAAGAATAAATAATTACTTAAATTTTTTAAATAAGATGAATGGTCAAACATGTACTAAAAAGTCAACGGTGTCAAACATTTTGAAACGGAGGGAGTATTTTACCATAACAACGATACTTGTAGTTTCAACCCATGTATCCCAGCTGTAGATGTCTCGTGCTAGCTGCTAGATGTGCTATGTGTAGGACAGTAGGAGTACAACTCTGAACATGCTATGCTAATTCGATCTAGGCCTGCCTAGTTCTTAATTTTTTCTTCAAACTTATAACTTTTCCATCACATTAAAACTTTTCTACACACAAATTTTCAACTTTTCTGTCACATCGTTCTAATTTCAATCAAACTTTCAATTTTAGCGTGAACTAAACACACCACTAGTAAGTCGGATCTGGTCTTGCCACCCCACCAGTTTCCACCAGGGTTTGTATTTCGGACGACAACCGATCAAAAACCACGAAAGTAGATACCCAGTGAAATTTCAAGTGGTTTTTGATAATTCAATTTTGAAACAGTAAATTTTAGCTAAATTTTCGATCAATACTGGGTGTTAGAGATCTCACCTGGTTACCACAAAGTATCATAAAGCACACAAGATTACAGGCAGTTTTTGCAATGGTATAAACAAGAGTACAAGACAAGATTACAAGCAGGCAGTTTTTGCAAGGTTTTTTGCAATGGTATAAACGAGACAAGATTACAAGCAGTTTTTGCAAAGATTTAAACAAGGGGATCATGATCCCCAATCTTCAAAGTCATGTAACTTTATCATTGACATGTGGATCCGATGAACCATTGACTCATATGTCAATAACTTTAAATATAGAGGATCTTAATCCATTGGATCCACATGTCATAACAAAAGCATAGTAACTTTAAATGTAGAGGATCTAAATTCATCGGATCCACATGCAAAAGCATAGTAACTTTAAACGTAGAGGATCTAAATTCATCGGATCCACATGCAGTAACAAAAGCGATCTAAATCCATCGGATCCACATGTCAGTAACAAAAGCACAGTGACTTTAAACGTACAGGATCTTAATCCGGAACAAAGTGGCACAGCTATTTTGTCTGCTCTGATCCGGAGCTTCTGACCTGTGCTCACCACCAGAGTTTTAAAATGGAAAGCTTGCATCAGGCCACGTGGCGTTGACAAAGAACCAATCCCAATGTGGCCACGAGCCCCGGCCACGCCGCCGCCGCCGCCATGGCCATCAAAACCTAGTGCCGCCTCGCGCAGCGCGCTGCGTCGTTTGGATCTCGACGACGGCCGGCGCCAAGGCACGGAGGGAGAAGAAAACCACGCGCCTCTTCTGTGTTCTCCGGCGATGGCGAGCTCCACGGCATTTGCAGCGGCATTTGCGCTGCTGCTGCTAGCGTCGTCGGCGGCGGCGGAGGGGGAGGCGGTGCTGACGCTGGACGCCGGCAACTTCACGGAGGTGGTGGGGGCGCACGACTTCATCGTCGTCGAGTTCTACGCCCCATGGTACGTACATTGTACAGGCAAACCCCATTCCTCGCCGCCGGCTCGGCGCCATGGCGCCTTGCTGATTTTGACCTTGAGCTCAGCTGACCAAATCCTCTTCGCCGCCGCCGCAGGTGTGGCCACTGCAACCAGCTTGCTCCGGAGTACGAGGCGGCCGCCGCCGCCCTGCGCTCGCACGACCCGCCGGTCGTCCTCGCCAAGGTCGACGCCAGCGCCGACCTGAACCGGGGCCTCGCCGGCGAGCACGGCGTGCAGGGCTACCCCACCATCAGGATCCTCCGGGACCGCGGCGCCAGGTCGCACAACTACGCCGGGCCCCGGGACGCCGCCGGCATCGTCGCCTACCTCAAGAGGCAGGCCGGCCCGGCCTCCGTCGAGATCGCTGCCTCCGCCTCGCCGCCAGCGGCCGACTCCATCGCCAACGACGGCGTGGTCGTCGTGAGTTTGACCTCCTCTTCTCTCTGCATCAGCTGTTTATGCTTATACTTACAAGCTAAAGGCTCTCATTGGATGGCCTAAATAGTCAAAGAATAAGTCAAATTTTAAATTTTCAAACTTAAATTTAAGATTGATTTTAAGATATTTTTAACGTAATTTCTTTTTTAATATTGGCTTTTAAGTCATCAAGAACATATATATATATATGAAAGTTTTATCTATAAATTTATTTTTATCCCCTAATAAGCTGTTTTGGCTTATTAGGGAAAGAGCCAAACGATGGGAGACTAAAATTTAATTTTACATTTGAATTTTTGGTTTTTTATTATAAATAGCATTTACTTTTTTAAGTACATTTGATTTTTTGTTTTTTAATTATAAATAGCATTTACTTTTTTATATGTATATATAAAAGTTTTACTCACAAATAATATTTTTATTTACAAATAAAGTGATTCGGATAAACATACAAATAAGCGAAACAATGACCCGATGCATCAGTCAAATACTCTTGCTGATGCAGGTCGGAGTTTTCCCCGAACTTAGCGGCAGCGAGTTCGAGAGTTTCATGGCGGTGGCGGAGAAGATGAGGGCCGACTACGATTTCCGGCACACGACGGACGCCGGCGTCCTCCCACGGGGTGATCGGACGGTGAGGGGGCCTCTCGTCCGCCTCTTCAAGCCCTTCGACGAGCTCTTCGTTGACTCGCAGGTACACTAGCTGAAAATTAATGCTACAGAGATACTCTGCTCTGTTTTGATCCCTCCAGGGGAGGGGTATCTCTGTATTCTTGTTTGCTTAAAATCATCCAAGTAGTTATGATTCATGAAAATTTCTGTAAAAAGTTGACAGCGTTCGTACAAATACATATACCACCTCTAAAAAAATGTAAGATCCAAACTCAACTTACACATTGATATATAAAAAACATAAATTCGGTATATGAATAATAGGGTAGTGGTAGTGTCCATACCCGAATTTATCTTTTTTTTTCAAGGTGCATGTCAAATTTAAACTTAATTTCTGGTGAATCGATAAATATCATTATACTTTATATTGCCAATTTTTTCAAAAAAATTTACAGCTATTTACAATAAATTTGGAACAAAAATATACACGAGGGGATATGAATATCCTCCAAGGGATTAGCTAGTAGTAGCTCACATTTTGGATAAGAAATGGACAGAAATTTGGATTGCTTCTTGTTTTTATTTTTCAGGATTTTGATAGAGATGCGTTGGAGAAGTTTATCGAGTCTTCTGGTTTCCCTACAGTGGTTACCTTTGACACTAGTCCGGCAAACCAGAAATACCTTCTGAAATACTTCGACAATGCCGGCACCAAAGTAAGGACAGACAATTGGTTGACTTCTCACTCTGTTTGCCTACACTGGACTGTTTAGCTTGTTGTTTAGGCCATGATTGCCTCTTATCATGTGCACACGATTTTCACTGTCTCTCATGTTTTATTTCAATGTGCTGCTGGAATCCATAATTGAGAATGCAACTCTTGTCTCACTTGGTCTGATCATCTGTTCTTTCTGAACCTGATTTTGAGCGTGCAGGCGATGCTTTTCCTGAGCTTCAGTGATGACAGAGCAGAGGAATTCAGAACTCAGTTCCATGAAGCTGCAAATCAATACAGCGCAAACAACATAAGCTTTCTGATTGGTGATGTCACTGCCTCTCAGGGTGCTTTCCAGGTAATCTTTTGCCTTCTTTTTTCCATAACAATCTTTATTAGTACATTGCTTTGCCCCAACATTTCGTATAAAAACAATGTCCAAGAGTTGAAAATGCCTGCTGTCTGACCATTTTTGAATGCACAATGTTCCAGTATTTTGGGCTTAAAGAGAGTGAAGTGCCCCTCGTTTTCATACTAGCATCGAAGTCGAAGTATATCAAACCAACTGTGGAGCCTGATCAGATCTTGCCCTACCTGAAGGAATTTACAGTAAGCCAATTTCTGAACTGACGCTATTATCCTCTTCCTCGTTTACTAATTCCCTGATATATATTCTGTGGGTTCTTTAAGTCGCTTGCGTGATATTTAGTCTCACTATTTTATACTAGGGACTATGAAGGTTACTTATTATTAGTACTACCTCTTTTTTTAATTTCTGATGCTGTTAAATTTTTGGGATAAGTTTGACCATCGTCTTATTCAAAAAATTTATGTAATTATTATTTATTTTTATTATGACTTGATTTATCATCAAATGTTCTTTATGCATGATTTAAATGTTTTCATATTTGCATAAAAAAATTTAAATAAAACGAATGGTCAAACATTGATAAAAGGTTAATTACGTCATACATTAAAAACCGGAGAAAGTTTCGCTACGTGCTTAGTCAGTTTGCCTTGATTTTCTTTATGCAGGAAGGAACATTGGCACCCCATGTTAAATCAGAACCCATTCCGGAGGTTAACGATCAGCCTGTTAAGACCGTTGTTGCTGACAATCTTCGAGAGGTGGTTTTCAACTCCGGCAAAAACGGTATGTTCTTGGCTACTTGCTTGAAGAACTTGTATTAATTACCACTCGACCTGTTACAGAATGCAAGATGTTTTGGTTTTTGTTACAAGCAATTTTTTTTCAAGTTTAACCGAGTACATAGAAAATGTAGCAACATTTATAACACCACATTAATTTCATTAAATCTAGCGTTGAATATATTTTTGTAATATATTTTTTTAGTGCTGAAAATGATGTTACGTTTTTCTTAAACCTGGTCAAACTTTGACTTGGATAAAATCAAAACACCTTATATTAAAGTGGAGGAGGTAGATATTTGTTTAAGTTATGCCCTGCATGCCTGATGCCTGCTTCGTCGTCAACATCTTAACCATTTTGTTAATTTGTTTGCTCAAGCTGTCAAAACATAAGTTCGGTCTCTGTTTTTTTTTTTTCAAATTCCTTTTGCAGTTCTGCTCGAGTTCTATGCTCCATGGTGTGGACATTGTCAGAAGCTGGCCCCGATCTTGGAAGAGGTTGCAGTTTCATTGAAAGATGATGAAGACGTCGTCATAGCAAAGATGGTAATCTACCCTACCTATGAGCTCTCTCCATTGCTTGGTCCATGCTGGCCTTGTCAAAGATATGATTGAAAAATGCCTTCATAGCATGCATCCATAAACCATCTGATCTATTTATTTCTTAAAAAAACAAAACAAAACAATCAGACTGATTCATTTTATTTTTTTTAGAAAAAAAGCAACCATCAAATTCACATGTCATGCCTGGGGAAAAAAAAGACTCAAGTTTGACATTTTTTTTGCCTCAAATTCAACAAACCAGATTATTATCAGAACACGCGCGTTTCTCACCGTTCACCTCTTGACCAATTCGTTTGCCCTGAATTGCAGGATGGTACTGCCAACGATGTACCGTCAGATTTCGCGGTGGAGGGGTACCCAAGCATGTACTTCTACTCGTCTGGGGGGAACCTCCTGCCCTACGACGGGAGGACAGCCGAGGAGATCATCGATTTCATCACCAAGAACAAGGGCTCCAGGCCTGGGGAAGCAACCACGACTGAATCTGTCAAGGATGAACTGTGATGGCCACTTGGTCAGTGATTCAGCGACTCCAAGTTTTTTTTTTTTGTTTCTTTACCAAAAGAGAGCTGCATTTTGCAAAACACTGATTTATTCAGGATGAATTGCAATCTAAAATCATCTTTGTATTATTTTTTGTAGGGGGAGTGGGGAGCTTCAGGTTAGGAGGTGCAGTGCAGCTGACAGCTTGAGGACATAGCTCAGTACTGAATTTAATCTTGTATTCGAGTTCCAGGTTTCCAAGTACATGTAGCATTACCAATGGTTTCATACATACATGTCCCCCCCCTTTTTTTTTTTTGCACCGCTGAAATCTGTTATTGTAACATCATTACACTACATCGAATAATCCCCATTTTAGCTTGCCAAACGAGTAACTAAAATCCCTGTGTTTCTGAACCGAATAATCTTACCAAACTGAACCAAAAAAAAAAAAGGACAGCATCAAATGTCCCTGCCTTTCTGAATCTCTGCTGCTCCAGAGTGGTTGGCGTTAGATAAGCTCTCTCGTTACAGCCATCCTGTCCTAACAAAGTAATTAAGCATGTAAACTTTGTTCCTTTCTTCTTTTTTTTTTTGTGTGTGTGTGTGTGTTGTCAAAAGCTATCATCCTAACATAATGTGAGGTCCCATGGATGATGATTGTCCACAAGGTTGGTGGCGATCGATGCTGCACTGCAATTTGCAAAGCCGTGAGAGAGATGAGATGAGAGAATCAAAGCCGTACGCGCGGCTCCGCTGTTGCAATCAGGTTGGTCGTTGGCTGTCCCTCTCCTTTTTCTCTCCTCTCTCTCTCTGCTGATCTGCTGCCTTTTGGACAGTGCATCTCTGCATGCGAGCTCAGCACTAGCAGCAGAGCAGCAAGGCTTTGCACTTGCAAGCTTTTTTTTTTTTTTTGGGAGAACTTGCACTTGCAAGCTGCTCTCCCTTTCTATCTCCACTACTTCTCACTTTCCAAATTTCCATATCAATGTGAATGATAGTAATAATAACTAATTGCATTGTCTGGTTGAGCTATCTGCCACCTAATTTAATGACCAAATGGTCCGCTTTATTAATCGACTGCGAGTACACTGTTGCACTGTCGCACTGTTACATATATATATCCAGATTTTTAACATTAGTAACTTTTGTTAGTGGTAAGGTACTAAGGTCTTGCCTTTTATTATTATTTTTTTCTTTCTCTTCAGTTAATTCGATTTTATATTCCTAGTCTTTAGATATGTGATCTGGTATGTGGAAAATGCCACTTGAAGGATGTAAACAAACATGTACATACTGCTAGCGTGCAACTTACAAATGGGGAAACAAAAGCAATAATTTTCCTCTTACCCAGAAAAAACAAAACCAAGAACTCCTCAACATTTATAACTGAATTTAAATCCTAATGTTGACTGTACGATCGATTATGCATACATGGTGTGCATTTAATTTTGAAAAGGAAAAAAAAAACACTGAGCTGAGCTCCAGAAGATGCTTTTAATTACACACAGTAGGTTAATTAATTACTTTGCCGCGAATGTATGTGCGGCGAGAGAATAGTAATTAAGAGTAAGCTAGCGCTAATCATGGCACGTAGATGCTCCCGTGGCGGCGATGGTGGTGGCGGCACGGCGGCGCCGGCGACGGCGACGACTTGTCGACGGCGAACAGCTTCCGGAAGAGCCTCAGCAGCAGCTCCCACCCCGTCGTCGCCCTGCTCCCGCCGCCGCCGCCACGGCGGCCGCCGTAGAACTGGCCCACGGCGCCCGCCCGCGACGACGCCCTCAGCATCGTCGGCGCGCACCCGTACAGCCCTCCTCCTCCTCCCGGTGGGGACGACGACGGCGTCTCCTCGTCGTCGTCGTCGTCGGCCGCCGCCGCGGGTGACGGTGACGGTGACGGCGGCGTCCCGGCCGCCGCGCGCTGCTGCTGGCGGCGCCGGAGCTGAAGCAGGAGCTCGTCGTTGAAGTCCTCCCACAGCAGGTCCATCCTCTCCTCGTCGCCGGCGCGCGCGTCGCGGTCGCGCTCCCACAGCTGGTCCATCCGCTCCTCCTCCTCCTCCTCGTCGACGCGCCGTGCTGCTGCTACCGGCGCCGTCGCCGCCACCGCCTGGCCGCCCGACGCCGCGTCGTCGTCGTCCGCCGTAGCCATCGTGGATGAGAATGGCCAGAGGAGGCCGCCCTGGCTGCTCGGTGCCAGCGACGACGTCGCCGCCGCCGCCACCGCCGTCGCCGTCGCCGTCGCCGCCGGCGCGGGGAACGTGAAGTCGTCGTCGTCGTCCTCCATGGACGAGGCGAGGCGAGGCGATCGAGCTGCTACTGTTGCGCTCTGACACTAGACACTGCTAAGTCTCGCGCTGGGTTTGTGTATTGAAGTGATGATAAGGTTAGAGAGTGGAATAGTACGTGGACGCGATTGGGTACCCTTGCCTTGTGTTGTTGTGGAGTTGGGCAGGTGACAGGTAGCTAGCGCCAGTAATGCTAGATTTGGATTGTAGTTAGGGAGAGAATATATGTATACGTATGGGTGGTATTAATTACTCCCCCGTATCTAAATATTTGCGTTGATTTTTTTAAACATATTTAATCGTTCGTTTTATTTAAAAACTTTTGTAAAATATGTAAAACTATATGTATAAATAAAAGTATATTAAACAATAAATCAAATGATAGGAAAGGAATTGATAATTACTTAAAATTTTTAAATAATATGAACGGTCAAACATATTTTAAAAAAAGTCAACGACGTCAAATATTTAAGGACGGAGGGAGTATAATACAGATTTTATTTCATTTTTCGTGTTTTCGTTAGCAACTTTAATTTTTTTTTCAAACTTTTAAATTGTATGTTTCGTATGAAAGATTTTTTAATAAAAATTAATTTAAAATATCAAATAAATTTATTTTTAAAGTTTTTAATAATTAAAATTTAGCTTTCTTGTTTTATGTGTTACAACATTATTTTCATCTTACTAGCAAAAATACTTGTGTGCAACACGTGAAGACAATTTTCACGATTGATAAAAACTCTATCAATTTAAATGACAAATCCTAACGAGACGAACAAAATAATGGTAAAACAAAATCAGAAATCATATATTATAGCATTGAACCCGGCTGTATTTATAGCATTGAACCCGGTTGTTGCGCTTGCTTCATACGTCATCACACGAATAATCTCTTACGTACAGCTTTCCATAACCTCACAAATCAATCGGGTGGCCATTCCATAAATCGATACCTGGGTATTTTACTATGCCTCATCGACCATATATTGAAATTTTTATTATTTAGTTAGTGAAAGTTTTTTTACTGTAGATTGAAAGCATTTATAAAGTAACAAACTTGCCACATATACACCTTAAACAATGATAACTTTAAGAAAAATATTGATGAGAAGAGAATTTTGAAAGAGAAAAGGAAAGGAAAAAAAGAGAAAAGGATGAGAAAACAGAAGAGGGGGAGGAGAGGGAGAGGTTCATGATGATGGAGAAAAGAAAAGGAGAAAAAGAAAAAAAAGAGAGAAAAAAACGTCGATCGAGGCAGGGGTGCACGGAACGGGGTGCCGGTGGGATGGTGTGGGACGGTTGGGTTGGGCTAGGAGGAGGAGGGGATGTACAATAGTTGTTCTACTTATGTCGAATTAGGTACGGGTGATGTACAACCAACTCAAAAATTAACTCAAGCACGGATTACGTACCAAAATTCTGACAAAAACGTCATCAATTTCTATAATACTAGAAAAAAAATACTCGTGTGTTGCAACAGGTGAAGTCTATTTTAATCTTATTATTGTTATATGGTTTAGTTAAGATGAAATTCACGATCTTAAAAACCGACTCAAATACGGATATGTATTTCCAAAAGCAATCAAACTTAAAAACCGACCCATACACGAATGACGTACCAAAATACCGGTAAAAACATCTTCATTTTTATAATAGTAGAGAAGAGATATAGATTAAAACCAAAACATAAAATTAAAACCGACTCAAACACGGATGATGAACTACGGAAATATCTTCAATTTTTATAACCGGCTCAAACACGGATGACGGACCACGAAAATATACTTAATTTTTATAATAGTAGAGATTTGAAAAGAAGAAGACGACCATACTATAGCACCAACAGTATATGATATATCGAGAGGGCTATTTGCGCTTGACGGAGCGTGGGGCTCCTCACCGGGAGACCGCGCAGGCCCCCTTTGCCGGTTCGGCCGGGGGCGCTAAGTGAGGTTCTTCGCCCTCGATCTGAGGAACGTCCGCGAGAGAGGAAATGCACAAGACACGGGCGACGTAGACAGGTTCGGGCCGCTGAGAAGCGTAACACCCTACTCCTGTGTTCTGGTGGATCTGTGCGTGAAGGAATACAGAGAGCCGGAGAGCGAGAGAGAGTTCAGGCTCTAGCACCCCTTCGCCAGAGTCCCAAACCTCCTTCCTCTTTTCTCTCCTCTCCCTTTCTCTCCTAGGCCTGGGCCTCCTTTTTATCTGGTCAGGGGTCACCACAAGGGCCTACAGCTACCTAAGAAAGGAAACATGCTTTTTACAATGAGGGCTAGTCTACAGCCGGAAGTGACCTCTGACAAGCAGAGCACACGCCTCCTGCCCCGCTCGCCCGCTTTTCCGGTGGACGCCCATTTCAACCTTCATTTAATGGCCAGCGACTTCCTTGCCATACTTGCGCTGAAGCCTGGAATGGATCTGACCGGGACTGACATACCAACTCCAGGAGTTAGCACGCCGGCTCCGGCTAGGGACGAGAGCCAGGAAGCTCTCATTATTCCGACGGGACGGGGCGAGGCGTGTGACAGGCCGCCTGTTGCCACCTAACCCGCGATCTGACCGGTCTGCGACCGGTCACACACCGCGACCGGTCTCGGACCGGATAAGCGCGCGCTGCGCCGCATTAAATGCGGCGTGGCGCGCTCGTCCAACCTGCTATAAATGCGGTTAGGTGAGCCCGCTGTGCTCACCTAACCCACACACGTGGCGCCAAAACCACAGGGGGTCGGGGCGCCCCAGCCCTCGGGGCCGAAACGGGAGCGGTCCGACCCCTCGGGGAGACAGAGGGAGGGGTGGCCACGTCATCCTCGGGCCCGACCCCCCCCCCCCCGAGGGGGTCAGGCCACGTGGGTGACCGCGGCTACCCAAGCCTCTAGTCACGATACCCCCGGCCCCATGTCACCGACAGCGCTATTGGCACACTCTTCCCTTCCTTTGTGGACGAAATGTTTTCCTTTTCAGATGAAAGTTTCAAGTTTTATGCCAAAGCACACAATATATAATACTGCAGCACGACAACCATTGTTCTGCCAAGATTACCTATATAATACTTGGTTTTGCATATCATATACTCCCTCCGTCCCATAATGTTGCAACCGAGGATGGGTACTAGGTCTACGAATCTGTCCAGTCCAGGACAGATTCGTAGTCCTAGGATGGTTGCAACATTATGGGACGGAGGGAGTATAAACAGAAGAAGTCTAGAGTGGATCTCGATCTACGCACGTCTACTCTTGGCCCTCGTGTCTTCTCTTGGTTCGGGATTTAACGCACGGAAGGCAGTTCATACCATTCCGCTCCCATGATGAAACCAACAGCAACAGATGCAACGGTGACAAGTATGGTCATCACATTCTCTTTTCTGATCTTGTCGAGGTGCTCCCTATCAAAAGGATGTTTGCGTATACTCACTCCTTCCTAAATGTTTGGCGCCGTTGACTTTTTTAAACACGTTTGACCGTTCATCTTATTCAAAAACTTTTGTGAAATATATAAAACTATATGTATGCATAAAAATAAATCAAGCGATAGAAAAATAATTAATAATTACTTAAATTTTTTAAATAAGACTAACGGGTCAAACATTTTTAAAAAAAGTCAACGGCGTCAAACATTTTGGGATGGAGGGAGTATAATGCATGAATGTTAGGATCGTTTTCATTTGAGTAAAAATTAATGAAATAAATCGTAGCGCCTCCAAATTAATTAATTACCTCGCCAGCTTCATCTCTAATTCTAGCTATCCCATCATCAATAATACTAGCTATCTTGCCATCTATCTCCACTCCCTTATTTTCTAATTTTGCCAACAGATGATCAACCTCCTTCGTCTTCCTGGCAACATCAGCTCTAGCTCCTTTGGCGGATCCACCCTGCTAGTAGGATTAATTAGAGAAATATATATAGTTAGTTGAAATGGTAATGCATAAGCTAAAAACAGCTAGCCATGCATGTTAGTGGATGCTAATGATCAGAGAGCAATGGCTGCAATTGGCTAACGGTGGTCCTTTCAGAGATTGTACTACTAAACTTACAAAAGTTTGACGACCAGCATATGTCCGACTATATGAAATTTATATTACTATACTTGTTTTTGGAAATGCTTTAATAACAGTACAATATAGAAAATAATTGATATAGAAGCACTAAAACGGATACCCTCATCTCAATCGGGCGGTAAGCCCCATCTCAATCGGGCACGGCGTCCGTCACAGGCTAGAAGTCACTGATGTGAAGAGTTATCTCAATCGGGCAAACGGCCGTCACGGATGAACCCGCCACCGATAGCTTTGACCCAGACGACCAGTCAAACTATAGCCCATCACAGATGACCTATCTCAATCGGGCCACAACTAGCGCCCGTCACAGATGACTACTAACCTCAATCGGGCCTACACTAGAGCACATCACAGATGATACTCATCTCAATCGGGTCTAAACTAGAGCCCGTCACAGATGACTACTTACCTCAATCGGGCCTAAACTAGAACCCGTCACAGATGATACTCATCTCAATCGGGCATTAAGTACGGCCCGTCACAGATGACCATCATCTCAATCGGGCATTTAGTTATGTCCCGTCACAGATGACTATAATGCACAAAAAAATAAATTTTGTTTTTTGGCTAGCCTCAGGCCTTTGCTAGCCATGCCAGCTGCAAAAATAACAGAAACAAACATAGATATACAATATGCAGTCGTTTGGACAAGCGTGAATTCTACGGACTTCTAACCCCAGTGGACACAGAACCTATTTTGCTTCGTATGTCGTCTCGGGCAATGTGTTCTCAGCAAGAAGCATAGCCTTCAAAATTTCTAAAAGATCTGTGAAACTCTTGTCTGTCTATCCATTACTTGTCTTCAACTTCATTAGGTCCAAGGTAACTGACAACTTAGTGTGCTTTGCTTTGCATCCAGCGTACAGAGGCGTCTCGGAATCACTGACCAACCTACTGAACTTCATGGAATCTCTCTCATTCTGGGCTGGGTCCTCAACGTCATGTAACATGTCTTGCAGCAGATCGTGATCCACATCAAACATTTCACCGCCTAATGGAGAAGGTATAAACATGTCATGCTCATCTTCATCTTCCTAATTATGCGCACCACTTCTGTCTGCTGCTGCTCCACTTCCTGATTCTTGCTTCCATGTTTCACCCAATATGTATAGCCCTTCATGAATCC